TATAGAAGTAGATTGCTTCATCTTCCTCCTGCGGAGCAGCTGGTGGGATGTACCGTTGACCTTCTGGTTAGCAGTCAAATGCCTTAACCACTGTACCAGCAGGGCTCCTTCGGAAATAATTAAGGAAAAGAAAATGAAAAGTACCTCTGAAGACAGCTCTGTGTAAGAGAAATGATTCATGAATTTGAAGTCTCCATGAAATGTCATTGATAGTGACCCGAAGGATCAGTGTTAGGATGCACCTTGTTAAGCCACCCCTGTAGACCTGTTTAACTGAGCATAGCTTCTCATATTGGGTTTCCTTCTAGGATCTCAGACCTAGCATAACTGAAATTAAACTTGTCTTCCTCCAAAACCTACTGCCTTATTTCTGCCACTGAATCACCTATTTTGAAATCTAGTCTTATTTCTCTTTTTGTCTATGCCAGTGGTTACCAAATAGATCTTTGAAGATTGTTATGCACTTTAATCACATCTACAACATATAAATAAGACAGAAGAAGAACTGATGTATTTGAATATACCTGTGGACTACCAGAAGAATGAACTAATTTAATTTGTACAGCCAAAATGCTTCTGGGAAGCAGGATGGATGGAGAAACTTTGTCTCACTTACTTTGGATATGTTATCAGGAGAGACCAGTCTCTGGAGAAAAGGATACCATGCTTGGTAAAGTAGAGCATAATGAAAAAAAGGAAGATCCTCAATGAGATGGATTGACAAAGTGGCTACAACAATAGGCTCAAACATAGCAACAATTGTGAGGACGGTGCAGGACCAGGCAGTGTTTCATTCTGGTGTGTGTCGGGTCACTATGAGTCAGAACCTATCTGACGGTACCTAACAACAACAACAACAACTTGGCTGTATGTAATGAGCTTCCATCCAAAATTTTGCTAGAAAATTGTTCTGCAACTAAAAAGTATGTAAAAAACTCTGCTTTGTGTCTAACCCATAAACACATCCAGGTGTTTTTTCTTTACAAAGTCCATTACGTGGCCGCTTTTTTTTTTTAATTTTAATTTTTAATAGAAAACTTCACAAATCCTGAAAGCATAGTTTAACAGCTTTCCACCAAGTCAACACGTCTGTGAGATCACCATTCCAGTGAGAGAGAGACCGGTACCAGCAGCCTGGAAACGCTCCTCCATACCCTTTTCTCCTTTCCTGAAAGTAACTACTAAACGCCAAAGCCTTTTCTGCATAGTACACTTCATCCATAATAGACACATTTATAGTTAATGTAGTTGTTCATTTTAATGTAATAAGTACCTATGAAAACACCACCCAAAACAAAATGAGGACCTTGACAGTAATCTGCATCTAATTGAATAGTTTCCTATCCATTATTTCCCCTTGCCACTTGGCCCACCACACCAAAAGTAATCATCACCCCTGTTTCCACATTCATTATATCCATGCTTTCCGAGTTTCATTTCATCTTGTATTCCTGAAAAGTATGTATCCGTGTATGTATAAATGTATGTGTGTGTACATATATATATATGTATATACAGTTGTGTATGTGTATATATATGTGTGTGTGTGTGTGTGTGTATGTACATAGATACATACAGATGTATATATTTAACTGGGGTTTTACTCTGTATAATGATAACAACCACCATGCTCAGTGTAATATTTTGGAACCTACTTTTCTACTTAATTATATAGTCCTGAGATTCAGCTATTTGGTGTCACTCCAATATTTATTTAAGGGATTCAGTTTGATTTTTTTTAATTGAAAATTTTATTGAGATTATTGTAGAGTCACATGCGTTTCTGAAAATTATACAGAGATCCCTTGTACTGTTTGTCTAGTTTCCCCTAATGGTGATATTTTGCGAAACTACAGTATCACAACCAGGATTGACCATTGATAAAATCTACAGAATTTATGCAGATTTCCCCAGTTTTACTCATGTTTGATTTTAAATAACAGTATCTGAGGATTACAGAATTCTAAAACAGAAGCCTTCCCTGGAATATTTTTTCTTGTTCTTAACCATCTGTATTAAGACCACATTTTGGAGTGAAGTTTCTAACCTTAGATTTTTTTGATCACTCTGGCCCTCTTTGCATCAGTGAAAAAAAGCAGGTTATAAAATAGTGCATATTATATGAATTAACTTTTGTAAAAACATAAGAAGTTTTATATATCACTATTTAGTACATAAAACAGTAAATAAAAATTATAAATAGCGGCTGGAATGACTGCCCAGGGAAAGCAAGGGAATTTCACGCATAAGAATGTTAACTATACTCTTCCTGTTATAAGACTGTAGTTTTATTCTTGTTTTTTCCTCCACATCTACCATTGTGATGATCTAATTCTTTTATAATTAAAGTGTTTTGTTTTGTTTTGTTACTTTGTTATTTATGAGAGACAGTGAAATCAAAGTCCTCTGTAGTTGTAAAAGGCTGTGTGTGAAGACTTCCTTGAAGTACCTCAAGCTGCTCATTATCCTTGTGCTCTGAAAAGCAACATAATAGTTTAGATGAATGTGTATAAGGAAAAAATATCTTCCATACTTTAGTTACATAGAGCGTATTTGAACTAAGCTAACCACTTAGTTCTAGGACAAAACTTAGCACAGCTGAGAGGTTTTTTGATATACCATATTTTTCACAAATGGCCCATGTAAATAACATACCTGCCCATATAATGCATGACATAGCATGCTTATGAAAATAGTGGCTGAGGGTATTGTGCAGTTGGGAAAAAAAGTATAATGTATGTGTTATTGTTGTTATGTGCCGTGTAGTTGAACCTGACTCATAGTGACCCCTCCTTGGGTTTCCTAGGCAGTACCACAATGGAAGTAGATTGTCCAACCTTCGTTCTGAGGAGTGGCTGGTGGGTTTGAACAGCCAGGCTTCTGGTTAGCAGTCAGGTGCTTTAGGCACTATGCTACCAGAGCTCCTATGTATGTGTTATTTGCTTAAAACTACAGTAATAGCAAGTTGAAGGCTCTTTCTCTGAGGAGCTCTGGTTGTGCAGTGGTAAAAGAGCTTGGCTGCTAATGAAAAGGTTGGTAGTTTGAACCCACCCCCCTTTTGCACAGGTGAAAGATGTACCTGTCTGCTTGTGTAAAGATTTGCAGCCTGGGAAACCCAGTGGGAAGGTTCTCTGCCCTGTAAGGGCACAGTGAGTTGGAATTGGCTTAACAGTGGTGGGTTTGGTTTTCCATGTTGCTCTTAAAGGAGCCCTGGTGGCACAGCGGCTAAAACGCCTGACTGCGAACTGAAATGTCGACAGTTTTAATGATGTGTCTGCTCCAGAGGAAGAAGGTTGTGGCAGTCTGTTTCTGTAAAGATTGACAGCCTTGGAAATTCTACAAGGGCAGTTCTGCTCTGTCCTGTAGGATTGCTGTGAGTTGGCATCAACTCAGTGGCAATGGGTTTGGCTTGTTTTTTGTCTTCCTTTCGCAGTCCTCAGGTACAAACAGTTAACTTGCTGAGTTTCCAACCAAAAGGCTGGAAATGACTCTGCCCACAGAGGCCTTGGAAGAAAGGCCTGGTGATTTATTTCTGAAAAATCAGCCATTGTCCTTATAGAGCACAGTCTGACACAAATGGAGTCGCCCTGAGGAATGAAATCCTGATAAGTGCTGCAGCATGGATGAATATGGAAAACATGCTGCGTGAAGGAAGCGGGACATAAAAACGTATCGTGAGATTTCATTTATATGAAGTGTCCAGAGTAGGCAATTTTATAGAGACAGAAAATGTTAACGGTAGCCGGGGGTGAAGGTGTGAAGATAGAGGGTATTTGGAAGTGTGCTAACAAGTAAAGGAGCCCTGATGGCCCAGTGGTTAAGCACTCGGGTGCTAACTGAAAGGTGAGTGTTTTGAACCCACCAGCTGCTCTGCAAGAGAAAGATGTGGCAGTCTGTTTTTGTAAAGATTTACAGCCTTGGCTACTGCTGTCAGCCACTCAAGAGGGGATCTTTGTAGGAGATTCTAGATAGAATGGGAGAACAATATAGAATAAAACTCAAAATCATTTTTAAAAAAAAGTGGGGGAGGAGGGACCAGGTTTGCTGGTCTGATAGAGGCTGATGGAACCACTGAGGTTGTGGCCCATAGCTGCCCTTCAGGTCTGGAATTGAACTCACTCCTGTGGCTTCCAGCCAAACAAAAGACACAGGCATATGAGCTGAACATTTACATCAGGTAGATATACTCTTTGGAGAGATCAGTCATGGGAGAACAGAAGGGCTGTGTATGCACAGGGAGACAGCTCTGGGGGCAGGAGTGCATGGGAGGGAAGGGCACAGGGAAGAGATAACTGGGGAAGAAGTGGGAGGTGAGCTGTTGGATTGTGGGAAATTGCAGTCAATGTCAGTAGACAAAGTGTTATATGGGCTGCTGTATAGAAAGTGAATTTGCTCTCTAAACTTTGACCCAAATTACAATAAAAACTTAAATAAAAATGAGAAAAGAAAAAAAAAAGTTACAGCCTTGGAAACCCTATGGGACAGTTCTGCTCTGTCCTGTAGGGTCGCTATGAGTTGGTGTTGACTCTGCAGTAGCAGGTTTGATTTTTTATTTTGGCTGACAGATATGGCATTGCTTCTTTTCGATTCAGGCTGTCTGTCCCTAAGTGTGTAAGGGTAGAGCCGTGCTCTCTGGGGGTTTCTTTTTCAGTTGTGATTGGGTGAAAGTTTACAGAGGAAATTTGTTTTCCATTCAGCAGTTCATATACATTTTGTTTCATGACATTGATTACAATCCCCGCAGTGTAACAGCTCTTTTCCCACTTCCTCCCCATGATTAGCTTTTCTCTGTGCACTTCTTTCCTGAGATGAAAAGAAGTAGATGGCGTGTGGCTACCACTGCCAACCACTTGAAATGGGATCAAAAATGGAGATCCTGGATAGAGTGGGAGAAAAGAAGTTGAACATTAGGGCAGGATGAGGAATGGAGGAGGGGAAAATTACTGGCATTGGTTTTCTTTCGGAGAGCCCTGTATTCATTAAATATCTCTTCCTTGTAGCATCCTGGTGGAGAGGAAGTTCTGCTGGAACAAGCTGGTGTAGATGCGAGTGAAAGTTTTGAAGATGTTGGACACTCCTCTGATGCCAGAGAAATGCTGCAGCAGTACTACATTGGCGATGTCCATCCGGTAAGGACCAACTGAGCTAGGAGCACTTGTGGAGAGGTCATTACTGAATAACCACAGAACAGGATAGAGGAGTGAGTTATCATAATGGAAACTCATTCAGTGTAGACCTCGGGTTAAATTTTCTCCAGTTTTCTGGTCTTACTGTGCCAAGATAACAGCTTCTAATTGGCAAAATGGCACATGCAGTAACTCTGAAAAGTTAAGGAAATGGATTTTGGATTGTTATGACTAATTTATTTAATTTTGAAATACAATTAATAACATCTCTACCTGAAATACTGGTTTGTTCGTTCTTGTAAGTTTCTTATTAACAAAGAAACTACCCCTTGGAGCAATGACTTTGTAAACTATCCACATATGTTAACAAGGAGCCCTTGACATGCTCAGAGTGGGGGTCATCCCCCTTCTGCAGACTGTGAAGTCCTGGGGAGCTCACTGCCACAGAAAGCAGTCTCATGTTCCAGGGTTAGAAACACGCACATAGAGTTCATCTGGATATATTTTAAACTATTACTTGTTTTTCTCTCTTTAACAGTGTGACCTTAAAACCGAACATAATAGCAAGGTAAGAAGTTATTAGTTTCTCTTGTGTGTTCCAAGTGTTTATATTTTTCTTCACTTAAATAGAAGATGATTTTTATAAAAAGTTATTTTAACAAGAGAAGTGTTATTTTTCATCTCCAAGCAGGAACCTGGACTCAGTGCCATCTCAGGAAAAGCGAATAGTTGAGTCTTACACAGTAGGAAACATTTCATTAATGTTTCACATGCTGGAATAAAAAGAAGTGAGGCCCCAAAATTGTGCAGTGTATGGTTTTGAAAGAAATTGGTTTAAGGGTCTGTTGTAGGAAAGTATCTCTCACAGTACAGACAGTAGGTGATAACTGCTCCTGTGTTGAAACAAGAATTGGAAAGTTGATTTTTCTCTTACAAGTTACCTTCTTTTCTTTAATTCTAAAGGAATTGTACACTGAAATAATTGACTAGACCAGGCATTTTTAGCCCTATTTCCTGAATTTAAATTCTTTTATTTAATAGGTTCAAATAGACCTATACCCTTCCCATTACTCAGTGATAGAGCTAAAACAAAAAATGAAGCATTTGAAAACTTTAATATGCATTGTATTGTGTACCAGGAAGGAAACATGAAAGTCTTTGTGTTCGCCCCAGCTAGGCATTTCATCTCCCTTATTCCCTTATACTTTTCCCTGACTTCTGTTCTTCAGATAGCTATCACTGTTGTGTTATTATGTGCCGTTGAGTCGGACCTGACCCATAGCGACCTCTCCTTGAATTTCCGAGGCAGTATCACTATGGAAGTATATTGCCTAACCTTCCTTCCAAGGAGAGGCTGGTGGGTTTGAACTGCCAGCCTTCTGGTTAGTAGTCAAGTGCCTTAGGCACTATGTCACCAGAGCTCCCAGCTATCACTGTACCTAAAATTTAGAGGGACAGAAGCTTTGGTGCTACCTAGAATACCATGCAAGTAAAGTACTCTCCCCTTTTTCTCCTTGCTTTCCCTTTCTTTTGGGCCAGAATTACTGAACAACAACTAAAGTTGGCCTAGACACAAAAATTCTTTCAACTCAAGAGATTGCTTGACAGTGTTTGCCATCCATTGCCCTGCAATCCAGAGTATTTGTTTAACTTAACTCTCCCCCCTGCTACACTCTGCTACTCTGATGTTGAATGGCTTACAAGAGGGGGGTGAAATACATCTTTAAATGCTTTGTAAACTGCTGGTTTGTTTGTCATCCTCTCCTGACACATGTACTATTCATTCTTGAATCCTTAGTTCTTACACTAAGGTAAAATTTCTACCAAGCATGGCCTTACTTAGTGTATGGAACCTACCCAGAAAACGTCCCTCTCGGATGTCGGCATTTGATTTAGGGAGAATTCCTACTTGTGCAAGAGATGTATTTTGTAGTCTAGGAGACATAACCTGTTTCTGTACACAACCATGAGATAAACCTGTTTATTGTTGTTTAAATTATAACAAGATAAAAAATATTTTTATAATTATCTCTAAAAGTCTACAGATTACTTCTTGCTGCATGTATCAGTGGTTGTATGGTAGTGATTAAGACCTTTCTTAGGAATGAAGAGTGGTGTTTGTCAAACTCTGTTCCTTATACCACCTATATGAGAATCCCTTGGCCTGTATTTTAAAGTATGTATTTTCTAGGCTTCCATTGACATTAATTTGGAGTCTCTGGAGGTGGGACTTTGAAATTTGCTTTTTAAGTAACACATATGATAATTAGGTGGTCCAGCACTAAGCTTTTTGGAGTCTTACAGATACTGAATGAAATTTGAAAGCTTAGAGAATTTTAATTTCTTTTCTGTAGAAAGCATTGCTGGTCTTTCATAGGCTAAAGAATTAATTAGAGATGTGTCAGTTGAATTAAAACGACTTTTGAACTTTAGGTTAAAAAATACAGGAGAAGAAACCCTTTTCACTTGCCAAATTCTGTGATAATTTAGAAGTCTCCAAAAGTAGTTTAGCCCTTCCCTAGGTTAAACATTAGCTAGAGACAGCATTTTCGTGGGGGCCATACAACATGTCTCCATTCACTAAAGAGTCTAGTTTTATCATGTATTTCCAGTCATGTTGTGCTTAAGGCAGTTCAGGTGAAGAAAGCCTTTTGGAAAATTTTCAAGACCACCTACTTAGGTTCTCACAGAGCTGTATTCCAACCTGATTTCCATTCCAGGAAGGGATTGTAGATTCATCAGATCTATTTCCTCCAGAAGTTTAAAATAAGCGCTAACGTGCTTAAGATATAGGTATCTCTTGTTCATTTTCTATCTCTGGTTTAAGTATTCATTATCAGGAAACGTAAGTCAAGTTCATTTCATTCATTGTTTTCCTTTGGTCAAGGGTGTCTGAGCCTCTATTAACAAGTGATTTTTAAGTCTAATTAAGAGATGTCTTTTGCCTTATGGGTCAAAGTTGTCATTTCTCTTCTTTTCCTCTCCCTTCTACTTCTTCACTTCTCTCTTACCTCTACAACCCCATATCTCCTTCATGCCTGAAATGCCCCCCCATCACCCCCACTCCCCAGAAATACTCACACACAGCGTTGCTGTTCCTGAGTACATATCAAGAATATTTTCCTAATTTTTTAGAAACTACTTTTCATGTTGCAATACTCACCTGTGTTTTTGGTCACCTTTCATCTTTGTGTTATTGTTAAGTTGATAATAAAGAATTTAAAACCTTTCTGTCTCTGTGAATCTCTGCCTGGCTTGATAAGTCACCATGCTAAGAGACATCAATCTTCTACTCATATTTGACCTAACGTTTTTCTGGTCTGCTTTTGCTTATGAAAACTCACCTTTGAAATAGACAGTGTTTCTGTGCCAGGTTGCCTGCCTGTTTGGCCGCCTACTTTAGTACAAGTAAATGCAAACATTTGTGGTCCATGAATTCCCTCTTTTGATTATGCACTTACTTCTTGAAGATATATTTTATCATTCAGTCCATGAACATTACCAGGCCACCTAAATACCCATTAAATTTGCTGAAGGAATCCTCTTGTAATAGCAAACATGCAGTTTAGAAATAAGGCATAAGCTCCTTGTGTACCTTATAATATATATCTTATTTAAATCTATGAAAATCTCAGCATAATCTGTTTAAGCTAAACATGTACTTAATACTTAAAATGCCCTGTCTCTGTGTGCCAGTGTTTCCTGTCATGGTTCCACTGCAGTTTCCTTCATTTCCGTCCTGGTTACATAGTACACATTGCTCATGTGTGTATGCTTCTCCCATGTTTCCTCATAAACAGAGTTGATGAGAAAAATCCCCATGGACCCCTAAATGCCACCCCCCTGTGTCATTACCAGTTATGATCATTCTTTGTCGTGCCGTAAAACATAAGGAAGAGGGTCAGTATTTAGAGGAAGAGCCTGTCAAATATCTGGGAGAAGGTACCTTTATATACCTGGTGTAAGAGATAATAAAAAGCTGTGTGTGGTAGTACTTCAGTCTGCCAAGACCTGGGAGAATGGTGTTTCCTTCTTTCACCTTTAGAAGACGGCTATTGTAGGTTTTTCTAAAATACCCTTGGGTCAGAAAATTGTGTTCAATTAATTGAATATGGTTTTACAATTCAAGTTCATCTAGTCTAAGCCTTTCATTTTACCAGTGAGGATACTGATTCAGCATTGAGTGAGCAGATGTTAGACACAATTTCGGTAGTGAGTAGCTTTATAGAAAGGTCACTCAAGCTTCGTGAAATACTCAAAGACAGTAGTTTGTTTTTTTTTTAAACTGTCCATTATTTTATGGGAGAATTATCACCTCAACAAAGCTAGAACTTTAGGAGCCATTTTGTTTAAACAGTTGATTTCTTCTAGTTTTAAGCTAAAATCAAGATAGCCTTGTAGCAATTTTGTTGTTTACAAGTGTATTCCAGACTCTTGCATATTAATTGCTAGACAACAGAACTCTGGATTTGTTCTGTGCTCTTGTAACAAAAATCAGACCTTGCTGTTACTACATTCCATGTCTAAGATTCAGAGCAGTCACTGTTCTGCTGACCAAAATTCTTGCATGTAAATTGAGATCTGGGCAAGATCATAACCAGCCAGATAGCCCTGAACACCTGAAGGGATAAGTTAAAGCCAGGCTTAAACTGAAGGAATTTCACTTAGGCATTCGTTAGATCAGCGGCAGAGCTTTGGAATGGAAATGAGGATGGGGAGCTGTGCATAGAAGGAGCGGAAGGGTGGAGGTGAGGGAAGGTTATGTGTTAATAGAACCTTTTAATTTTCTAAAATTAAAAATAATTTATTTGGCTTCTTTCCAAGCTTGGCTGAAGGACTTGGCTGCTAAAAGCAGTGCCTTAAACAACTCCGTCATTATAGTTGATTAAAAGCGGAGTCACTGTACTTTGGCAGTTATTTGGCAGTCAGTATCTTAAAGGATATGTATACCTCTTTCTCTTCTCTTTTCTCTAGTATGTTAGGCAAGTTGATCTTTGTGCCTCCAGGGATGGATTGATGTTAAAAAAGAGGCATTCTGGAGATTTATTAGTTCAGAAAACTCCATGTATGTTTCTCATTATTTGTTATAAACTGTGTGAATGATTTCAGCATGTTGTCATCTTGATTGTCACTGTGCTTACACTCTCCCTTCTTCCTCTTGGTTGCTTCCTGTGTTGTTTAAGTTTTATTCTGGTTAGCACATGTCCAGAGCTTCTGGTTGTAAAAGAATCCAAAAGATTTGAAAGCTAGACAATCCGTTTATATGAACTGCATGGTTTTTAATGTAATATTATAGGTGAAACATCTTGATACGTATGTTCCCCCTTATTGCTCTCATGTAAACCTTTCAAATTATCCCAGTTTTATTGATAGTAACTATATTTTTAAAATTCTTATAAATCATTGGTCTATATGTATATAAAGCATAAAAGTGTTGACAGTATCTTCATGGAATTCAGTGTTTTGTGTGACTGCTTTAATGGAGTATTTAAAAAGGCAACATTATACATTAATTTGATGCACAACATCACTATTATTACCACCCTCCCAGATATATGAGGCAGTAACATCTACTGTACTTCTCAAAGATTGACCTGCAACACATTGTAGTTAACCTAATTCATACTCTTCTAGCAGAAATGTCCCATATAGTGTAATGGAAGTCTTAGAGAACTAGAGTGGTATATTCGTATGGTTTACTTAAAACCTTGTATTAGGAGTTTTACTTGCCTGTAGGCTAATTTCTTTCAGGTTTTGAGCATGTATTCATTTGCATGACAGTGTTTGGATATTTGAAATTAAAACTCATTCACAGACTGATATCCGGGCCAGTATGTATGGTTTCTAAGGAGCTTTGGTGGCACAGTAGTTAAGTACTCAGTTCCTAACCAAAAGGTCGGTGGTTTAAACGCAGCAGCCACTATGCAGCAGAAAGATGTGGCAGTCTGCTTCTGTGAAAATTACAGCCTTGGAAACCCTATAGAGCAGTTTTCTGCTCTGTCCCATGCTATGTGTCAGAATTGACTCAACGGCAGTAGATTTGGTTTTTGGATTTTTGTGTGGTTTCTAGAAATTCATGAAGATTATTAAAATGTGTGGTTAATCAGAGTTCACATTCTGTATTCATATCCTGGCATACATCTACATGTCGGCAAAGGTCCTATTTTGGGCCGCAATAACCTATGCTAATTGGTTATTGTCTTCTGAAGGTAGCTTAGCAGGCCTATTGTACTATACAGCCAATTAATGGAGTCAATAACTTCATTTGATATTTAGTTAAATTGAGTTAAAAAAAAAAGTTTAATAATAGCTTTGTTGTTGTTGTTAGGTGCCGTCAAGTCAGACCCAACTCATGGTGACCCCTCCTTGGGTTTCTGAGGCAGTATCAGTACAGAAGTAGATTGCCCCATCTTCCTTCTGAGGAGTGGCTGGTGGGTTTGAACCGCCAGCTTCTGGTTAGCAGTCAAATGCCTTAGGCACTATGCTACCAGAGCTCCCAATAATAGCTTTATTAAGATGTAATTCAGATAGTATACAATTGACCTATTTAAAATGTACAAATCACTGGGTTTTAGTATGTTCACAAGAGTTGTGCAGCCATCACCACCATCAATTATAGACCATTTTTATCCCCCCACAAAGAAACCCCATGCACATTAGCAGTCACTTTTCGTTGTACCTTCCCTCCCCTAAAACCTTAGTAACTGATAATCTGCTTTTCTGCCTCTGCAGATTTGCCTTTTCTGGATAGTTCATGTACAGTAAATGCAATTATGTAATATGTGGCCTTTTGTGACTGGCTTCTTTCCTTAGCATAATGTTTTCAAACTTCATCCATAGTTTAGCATGTATTAGTACAAATACTGCCATAATTTTGTTTTTAAGTTTGTTTGATTATTTTCTTTTCCTTAATTTCATTCTCTCCATTTTCATTGTGAAATAAGCTCTAAAGTCTTTAATCATAATTAGTATGACCTCAAAGAGTAAACCAGTTCATTTCTGTAAGCCATAAGGCAGCCATCTGCATGATCTATTAACATTTTGCAGTTACCATAGAAGATACTTTTTTTTTTTCAATGTATTTTCAGAAAATGTGATCTCGGCCACTGCCATTGGCAAGCCCAACTGAACCAGACATAGCCTTGTGACTTCAGACGACTCCAATTCAATAGCGTTTATTAGCATTTTTTTAATGTCTAAAAATGTGTAGGTCGTTTCTTTATGTTTTCATTAGTGGCTCTTCACCAGAGTATACCAGTATATTATCGGAAATGAAAGTCCCAGTCCACCTATTGCTTACGGATTCATAGATATCAAAACTCATGAAAGGTAGAAATTGTTATCAGCTACAGAGTTTATATGGATATTCGAGATTATTTATGTAAGCTGTGTTAATCTTCTTTCCTTTTGTCTGTTTCTTGTTTTTGAATATATGCACCTTCCTCAGGACACTCCGACAAATAATGCGTGCAAAAGGTAGAGTATCCCATTATCAAACTTCCTTAAACTCTTTATGATGTCTGACAAGAGATTCTTCCATAAATATGCATGTAGAACATAATTTAAGAGGACAGTTTGATAGCTAATTCTTTTTTGGCCAAAAAGTCGTTACAAATTTTCAGTAGTTCCTTAACAGTAGTGAAAATAATTTTTACAGTTTCGTCCATTTTGAATAATCTCAAGGTTCATGTGTTGAGTAATTTTTAAGTTGTATTGTGACATAAATTGGAGTCACACTCTGTGAGGGGCCGGTATGCATGGACAAGGCACTAGCTGCTAAGTGAAGCCAGTCAGGCCCCCAGCGTCTGCAGCTCAGCCCAGCTAAGTGACATCCACACAAAACTTAATCTCATTTAATCCTCACAACCACTCTGTAAGGAAGGTACTATCAGTGTGTTTTACAGAACAAAAAAGTTATGCATTATGGTCATATTTGAGCATTTGGGTTTTCTCAGGGGGTTACTTAAAATATATCTCTTGCCAGTAGTATCAGTAAAATAATAGCTCTGAAGGGTATAAATTGCCATCCCTTAAGTATATTTGCTCCCTGGGTGGAGCAAATGTTAAGCACTGTACTGCTAACTGAAATGTTGGCAGTTCCAACCCACAGAGTGTCTCGGGAGGAAGGCGGGGCGGTCTGTTTCTGAAAGGTCCCAGCCTGTGGAGCCCAGTTCTATGCAGTAGCATGTGGGGTCGCCATGAGTTCCATGAAACGTGACTCACAGCAACTGTTTTTTTTTTTCTTGTTTGTTTTCATTTTTTGAAGTGTCTTCTTGAGATGCCTGTGAAATCCTTGGCTGATCTTTATAGGGATTATGTAGACCATTTATCTGTTTTATCTTTTCTGAGATCCTACTTCAAGCATTTAGAGAAAAAGAAAAATCTTTTTTCTTTTCCCCATGAAACTATTGATTCTTGTTTATTTGAGGTAATGGACAGAGCATAAAAAGTGCAAACTTAAAAAGAACTAGTGAATTCAACTTCCCAAATATCAAAGACTTCTGCTCAGTGAATCCTCCATAAAGGCTTTGAAACTACAAGCCACAAACTTGCAATACATTTATGCTGTACATAAAATTGATTTGAGGATTATTACGCGGACTACATACAGAGTTCCTGCAAACTGATTTAAAAAACCAACAAAACTCAGAGGCAAGTTGTTGCGTGTGTATTTGCCATACACATTAAAAAAAAGAGTATGAGACAGAGACTTAAAAAAAGGTTATTTTACAGAAGAATCAAATATAAGAATATGAGAAAAAGATTTAATCTCATTAGTCAACAGAGAAAATGCTGATTAAAATACAAGGTATGTTCCACACCTACCAGACTGGCAAATTTCAGACTTTTTGAAAAAATTGGAATGGTAAGAAAGTTGATCACCAAGACTCTATAAGTTCTCCTAGCAGAGATATAAATGGGTACAATCATTTTGGAAAATAAATTTGACATTCTGTAGTAAATTTGACCACGTAAATAACTTTTGACTCAATAGTTCCATCCATAGAGATACATGCAACAGAAATGTGTATTCGTGTACCAGACTATTCACGGCACCGCATTCTGTATAATCAGAAACTGGAATAACCCAGATGTCCATTCATTGATAAAATGAGTGAATAAATTCTGGCCTAGTCATACAGTGGAATACTGCAGAGCAGTAAAATAAATGAATCTTTACTATGTACATTCTCATCAATGAGAACAAAATTAAAAAAGAAAAACCCACTATATGAACAACCAAAATAGAATTAAAAAAGACTTGATAGATTGTGGAAAATGTAACTAATGCCAGTGAACAATTTATGTATAAATTGTCACACGGGAGCCTGATTTGCTGTGTAAACTTCCACCAGAAACAGAGTAAAATACTATTTAATAAATAAATGAATGACTTACAACTACATGCAATAACCTGGATGAATCTCCAAGAGTTCTGTCTCATAGCCAGGAAGTTACTGTTATTGGTGATGCACTCAGTCTCCTTTGGTGCATTTTAAATGGGTTTCCCCTTTCTATCTTTGGTAGAAGTTGACTATTATGAAGAGTTGTAGAAAAGTGGTGTTCACACATTCCCCATCACCTGTAAGCAGTCTTCTGTAGGGAAGAATTTCTCTTCAGTGTTTTCTCAAGAATCCTACTTTCGAATGGTAGTTGTGTGTGTGTGTGTGTGTGTGTGTGTTTCTTCTCCAAGAGGTTTGAATTCATTGGTCTTAATGGAGAGATTACTTCAAAGTTCTCATGTGCCGTGTTGTAACATACGCCAGCTTGCCTTTGTGTTGTTGTTAAGCAAAGCTCGCTGGCTGACACTTATAACTTGTCTAGGGCAGCCTTCTGCCATCCTGAAGTACGAAATGCTAGGCATGTTTAGGCAAAGAGAGTAACTGGTATTATTATTGAACCTCAGCCAGTTTCATTGACTTCAAAACCTTTTAATACCAAGGCTGCATAGGTCTTAAATAGAGGCACAGCCAGGTCATTTGGATTATGGAAGAGTTACACATTAAAACCAGCAGTGTTAGTAAACACTTATTTTAAGGAGAATGATTATTGTCTTGACACTCCTAAGAAAAGTCTTTGCAATAGTTTTTTAGCTGGCTCTGTGTGTGTGTGTGTGTGTGTATGTAATTGTTTCTGATGTCATGCTATATATTCAGCTTTTAAATTTTATTTTTTTGTTGTTGCTTAATATTGTCAATCCAATCCAAATATGTTTTGTTTCCCACATCAACTACTGTGTGATAAAAGCACTTGAATTTCCCAAAGTAAATCAGAACTCTTTGCCCATAAGAATATTAAGATGTGAGTGTTGAAAGATAGCAAATGTTTGGTATGAAATGTTCACAACTTCATTGCTTTTTTCCCCCATGTCTAGTTGCTGGTCATACTGGGTTTTTCCCATCATAGGCGCTATTCTCTTAGGCTTCCTGTATCGTTACTACACGTCGGAAAGCAGATCCTCCTGAGGAGACCTTGTTGGAATCTGGAAAGCACGTCCACCTTGGGAGTGGAAAACAGAGACTTGATTTGGGGGCTGCAGTAATGCCCCTTTTTCGAATCCTGCCAGTTGTGTTCTTCCCCCTTGGAGCCAAGTTGCCTGTCCAGACTTGCACCTCAGACCTGCGACTGTTGTCCTCCATCTCTGAGCCTCACTCCCAAAGCATCTGCTTACTTTTTCTGTGTCCTTGGCAGTGTTTCCTTCCTTCACTACTTTCTACAAATACCTTAACTTTTCAAAACTTTTTGTTAATAATTATAATTCACGTATTGTGTTACATTGCCCTGTGGTAAGAATGCCTGATCTCCAATATTTTAAATGCGTATTAGACATTCTTAGTGAGGCAGCAAACTCTGATTTTGAAAGTTTTCTTCTTCCATTTTACTTTTAAGTAAATAGTTTTTTAAAAATTCTGATGTAATTTTATTTGTCTTGCTCATCTAAGAGATTTAATTTGTGCTGTGTGTACCTGCTGCTTTAAATACCACTGCCAGATGATCTTATTCCTTGCTGATATTTGTTAAAACCAGACCCCACTATCTGGTTATTTTGTGCTCCCTCCCAAGCTAGTGTAGCAGGTGGCATTTCCCACCCAAGTCCAGCCCCTATTTTTCCCAAATGGTGTTGGACAAAAGTAAGCTTCCTTTTGTTTCTTGGGAGTGGGGAGAGGCAGAGGAAAAGGTGGGATGAATTGGAATGATAGGGTCTGGTGAATTCCTAACTATTTCAGGAGTTTAGTAAAAGCACCAAGAACTTCAGCCTTCCCTTCAGTTTGACCTTCTAGCCACCCCCCTCCCCAGCCATCTTTTAAGGAGGTCTGGTGGCGTAGTGCCTAAGACATTTGACTGTTAACCAGAAGGCTGGCAGTTCAAACCCACCAGCTAGTCCTCGGAAGGAAGATTGGGCAATCTACTTCTGTAATGATACCACCTCAGAAACCTAAGGAGGGGTCACTATGAGTCATATCCAACTCAACAGCAATGAGTTTGGTTTTTTGGTTTTAGTCATCTTTTATTGGTAAAATAAAAATTCATAATTATGTCTATAAAGCTTTACCAGGGATTTTTGCTGCTTTTTTTTTTTTTGATGAGTAATTACTAGATTACCGATTTTACAAAATTAAAACTCACATTGATCAAAGGTTCTGTATTGGATCTCCTGTTCCCCCCAGTGAAATACCTTGTGTAGTAAAATGGCATTTGAAAGCCATAAGATCATTAGGGAATGTGTCCCACCAATCTCTTACCTCTGTGGCTCCAACTTTTGATTTTGTTCAAAAATAATAAAAATGTGGGTGTTTTTTCTTGGATGTGTGTTTCCTTGGGGAGTAGGTTATATTTAGAGTTCAGTTACTGTTTCTTCTTGGTTCGGCATTTCTCTGGCATATTTGATTCTCTCTTCCCTGTGGAGGCACCTGAGGAGACAGGACCCTGGCTGTTTTCTGTCATAGGTGGTGATTTTTCTCCCCATCCTTTAAGGATTACCAGTCTGCCTCTGAGTTGTTGTCCTGTCCAGCAGGGAGCAGCTTGGTTCAGAAAGGACCACGGTCCCTGCTTAGTGTCTCCTCCCCCGTTCAGCTTGCCAGCGACTTGAGGAGACAGGAAGCTGCCCAGCAAACCAGTGTCTGCCTATCCAAACTATTTAAGAAGCAGTTCAACCAAGGTCTTGTGTCCTGTGATTTAGCAGTTGAATGAATTCAGAATTCATCAAAATAATATTAATCTTGTATTTGCATGCTTAAATAGGCCATTTTGGCATAATTTTAAAGGATTTCTCATTGACTTTTATATACAAGGATACGGGTATAGTCAAACATTTATCTTTAGAATGAAAGTTTTGTATGTGTAATAAGATGCTACTCTAAGGCAATTTACTGTTTTAACAAATTGGTTATGTAATGAAAGTGGTGGGACTGCTGAGGCTCCACAGTCTGAAGGCGAGGAAGGGTTGCTGGAATAGCAGTGTGTCCTTGCTGTAAGAATTAAATTTCATGACCATGTGGGGCCATGTTGGGGTAGAGGTAAGAACAGAAGGGAGGAGTTGGAAAAGGGAGCATTCAAGAGAAAACTAAGCCAGCAGATCACTTGGATGAATTGTAAAGTGTGTTGTGAGTCTCCAGAATTGAATGAAAAACATCTGGCTTATAAGAAATGCTTAAAAATGATAGTCGTAAGTAAAATTGGTGTTTTTGATATTTTTAGGGTAAAACACCAGTTTTTTTCTATTTCATATTGGTTCTTTTCCTGTTTGTATCCGATCTTGTTTTCACTTAGCCACAGGGAGAAATTTTCAGACTTTGTCTCTGGCATCCCTGAAGTGCATCCAATATCCAGAGTTTCTTTTGAACGACTGCTAATATGATGTCCCATTGTATTATAAAAACTGCTTTTGGGTCCATTGACTATGATTGTGTTGCTCCATAAACAGCCAGGTGAAAGGTATTCTCAACAATAGGGTAATAGAATGTGTTAGCCAAAGCCATGGAAATAGGCTTTTGTTTTAGAGGGAGACTTGAGTTCTGAGACAGTCTCGGCTTTAGGCTTTTGTTTTAGAAGGAGACTTGAGTTCTGAGACAGTCTCGGCTTTGGCGGAGGTGGAAACCACTCTGCAGAGCCTGTGGAGCCAGTCCCTGGTGGCTGACGGTCCTTCTGGCGCTGTCTCTGGGGAGTTTGGTTTCTTCCTGAGGAAGACTGCTGCTGCACACGGCAGTGTTCGGGAATGGCTGGGGGATATGAAAGGAGGGGGAGGGGGAATCGGTGCCACCGAAATAGGGGTGTTGGCGCCAGCTCTCTGTCCCGGCCCCTGTCTCACAGCAATTGTTTTCAGTTTTCAAGTGACTTCTGATTTGTAAAGACAAGAAAATGGTGAGGACAAAGTTTGCATTGTGTTTAGTGCTCGTGTGACTTCTCTACTGGAAACAGTCTGTTGGAACCTAAACTTTGAGCCTGTGAAGTTCTTTAAGCAGTTGTCATAAATATATGTGTTGGGAACTGGGAACGTTGTTAGGTTTATGTTCATTTAGTTCTGATGTGGAGCAGTGAAAAATGCTTCACAGGCCTGGTCTTATCATTGCTTTGTGGCACCTCATGCTTCAAATCTCAAGTGATACTATATGGTGAAATTCCATTTTAGGAGATTGAAAATGCAGAACCTTAATGCTCATTACCTCCTACCCCAGGAGAAGTGGATTCAGACGTGTCTTGTCTCAGTAAGAAATTGATGAAAAAAAAAATCTCATTCTTTTGCCAAATATCACAGAAGTAATGGGGGGGGGGAGTTTGGTCACATATGGCTGCTGTGTTCTGAAAGAGCTAGGCTTGGAATTTGTGGGGGTGATATAGGAGGGAGGTCCCAAAGAAGTAGAGGCATGTTGCTCAAGTCTTACCTGCTCTGTATCCAGCTTCTTCATGAGTTTTAGTATCTGCTCTTTTTCCACACCCAGGGAGGGGTAGCTATGAGTTGGAATCGACTCCAAGGCAGTGAGTTTGGGTTTTTTGGTTTATATCCTAGACTTGCTCTTTGGGCAAAACATAATTAAAATTATTTAACTTTCTTTTTCTTTTTTGTTTCACCCTTGACTGTGAATTAGTAATATTAACATTCCTTATGTGTATTCAATAATGAAGTTTGCTTACCTCTTTTATTTCAGCATATTTCAAACAAAGATCTTTGTCTCTTTCTGCTGGAATGTGCACAGTGAGTGTTTGTTAGAACTATACACAATAAAGATACTGTTTTCCTTTTCTTGCCCTGACTACAGTTATTTAAAAAAAAAAAAAAAAAAAATTTATAGCTGTAAGTGGCAATATTATAAAAACTACAGTTATTTAAAAAAAAAAAAAAAGTTTTTAAGTAAAAGTGTCGGCTCAGTAATAATCCTCAGGTGTTCTGGAAGAAGAGAATTTGAGAAGCCTGAACGTCACCTGTGTCTATTTGCATTTTGTCTTTAGTATAAGAGCCCTGGTAGTGTAGTGCCCAAGCACATGACTGCTAACCAGAAGGTTGGTTCAAACCCACCAGCCATTCCTCGGAAGGAAGGTTGGGCAATCTACTTCCATAATGATACTGTCTTAGTAAACCCAAGGAGGGGTCGCTATAAGTTGGATCCAACTTGATGGCACATAACAACAGCAGCATAACTTGATGGGGAGTTGTGTGGTTTTTCATGATTCTGGCTACTCTCTTCACGTGAGGGGAGTTGCTCCCCTGATAATTGTGAGATGCAAAAATCAAGACATGGTATATTAATGCAGGTGAGGTGGAAACTACATATAGGGGTTTTTGTTTTTCCTGAAACCATCTGGTAAGGAGATGCCAATGTACAAGGTAGTAACATTTTGTTATCTGCTTTCCAGTCTTCAAATGATTGTTTTCCTTGGAAGTAACTAAGATGTTGGGAAAATTAAACGGTGAGATTGACATTCTAGTGACTGTGTTAATAAAACAAAGAAAATAAATCACTTTTCTAATTACCTGTGGAGCATACTGTCCTTACCGATGAGGCCTTGTTTATTAGGACTTGGTCATTTCACTCACATGAACTGAGGACTGCTGACAGGAATGGGCAGCACCATTGCTATTACTAACATCAGCATCTTAGGTTTACTCTTCAGTATTATTAAGAATTCATTGTCACAGCGGTTCTTCCTGATGCTGAGCTTGTGTAGGGTGCCTGACAAATCTCGGTTGATTCATAAAAACCTGAGATAGAAGATTGTGATTCCAATTATGTAAATTTAAGGTAAGAAATAGGAACCCCATCTACTGAATTGCTGGTGATTGATGGTGTTAACCCAACGTTAATTAACTATGCTTTACTTTGTGCTTCAAGGCCCATTCAGCGTAATTGCATATATCACATTTTAAAGACTTAATTATTTCAGGAAGCATTAAGGAGTGGCTGGAGTTCTTTTTCAGAGGAAACAGGAGCATCCAGTTCCTAAGTGTGTCTTTAAGTCAGATTTGTAG